ACCTTTTTGGAGACTAGAAGGTTTTGTTCTGACAGTAGCAATACATAGATTTTTTTTCAAATAGTCTTAGGATTTTCTTTTGTCCCCTAAGTATTATCATAATAATATTAATCACAACATATATGTGCTTGTTGTGTGTGCATTATTTGATAGAATATTATAATAATCATCATTGAACATTCCTTTTTTTTAACTTGAATTGAGAAATGTAGTTTCACAGTCTGGAAATTCCCTAACACAGGACCACAACCAGGACCAAACACTTCTGCACGCATACATAAAACTAATGAACATCTAAAACATACTGGGCTTTTATTCTATGATCAGACTTTACATATTAAATTATTTTTAAACAGTAAAAAGTAGTTTTAAACAGTACATTCATCAGGTTAAGCATTCTACTATAAAAAAACAGGCACATGACCAAATGTTTAGAAAACTCAAAGCAGATTCTTGCCACATTAGCAGCTCTTGGTATCCAACAGCACAAAGACTTCAGATGGCCTAAATTCCTGTCATTATACTCCCTGTAATCAGCCAGGATAATTAATAACTTCCTTGTGTAGTAAAAGTGTGAATAATGAAGTATTCTTGGCAGAACTCTATAGAAAGATAAACAGAAGATAACACATGGGTGGCACCATGAGAAAGAAATCAGGACGTGTCAAATATGAGCAAAATTATTATAATGGTGCTGATTATATAAAGAGAACAAACATGAGCCTACAGTAAAACTTAACCTACATTTTTGACATCTGGATAATAAGCAAATTTTAATAACCGGAATTGTAGTTTGGTTTGCATTCAGGTTTAAGGCAGAATATTCATTTTGTTCCATACAACAACAAGAGTCTTCTTTCTTATGCAGGTGGGTTATTTTTATATATACGATATGGACAGAAGTATTGGGACACACGTTTTAATCATTTAATTCAGGTGTTTCATTCATTGGATAGACTGTAGCCTATCCAAATTCCCGATATTTGAAGGTCAGACTTTCAGACTCCTTTGTTAAAAATGTATATGTATATGTAATGTAAGTATACATATTTTAAGCCAGTTAATCCTGATACAGAATATAAGAACAAATAACTCAGACCCATACAGATGGATACAGATGGGTTGCAAAATACAATCAAATATTCACAACCTTCAGAGACTATAAAATACTGTATAACCAAACTAGCTTAAAGATAATGTACTACAATCTTAGACTTAAATAGTGATCGCAAATTTGTGGCACATTAAAGCAAAATCCATGTCCACAACAGTCCAGTCTTGTGTACAAGTGCTGTAAACTCTATGTGTCGGTTTAAATTTCTGCAAAAACATCTTGTAAATAAATACCATACAGTGCTATTTCCTTTTCATATTAAGTGATAAAAATCCTTTTTTAAACTCCATCTTCAAATGAATGTGGGAGAATGATCAATTGAAAATAAAGGGATTTCATGGTAGAGACAGATGCAATTAGACTCTGAAACCCACAGCAGAATACTCCCACCACCACGCTTCCCTTTAGAACTGAAGATGTTTATGATTTGTGAAATTTAGTACTGGCCTAAACCCTGTAAAACCCTGAAAAGTCAATAAAGATGGGGGTGGGGTGGGAATATTGTGGGGTCTGGGGTTTATGTGAAAATTAAAACTAAACCATCTGACACATGCATGAAATGTACGTTGTGCTTTAATCACAGCATCAATTTAATAACAGAAAAAGGTTTGTGTTGTGTGGCAAATTAGGCAGTTGCTTAAATAAATGCATACTGCTTCTGCGTGAGATGAGTGATTATACATGTCAACTCTTCTGGTTTACAGAGGACCATATAGACTGTTACCAGCATGAAGTTTAAAAGCTGGAGTCTGTCATGGTATAGGGGTGTATTAGTGCCCATGGCATGGGTAACTTGCGCATATGTGATGGCACCATTACACAAAAAGATATAGATATATTTTGGAGCAACATATACTGCCTTTTAGATGCCGTCTTCTTTAGGGACATCCATTCTAGTTTCAACATGACAAAGCCAAGAAACATTCTGCAAGTGTTACAACAGTATGGCTGTGTACTGAGAGAGTGCATGTGCTCGAGTGGCCTGTCTGTCAACATACATGACACATATGACAACAAAGGCCTCATACGGTTACAGAGATACAAGTGTAGTAAACACCTCAGTTATGGTTTTTATTTATTGGTGTTTGTAGCCTATATCTCCCTGTCTGCAGTAGTGAGATTCAATCCAGGAATTTGCTTAAAGATCATCAGTAAAATGGTCATTTGAGGAAAAGAGCGCCATACGAATCCTAATGACACTGATGTTGGATGAGAGGGCCTGGCTCACAATCTCTGTTCTAGTTCATTCCAAAGGTGTTTGATGGGGTTGAGGTCAGGGCTCTGTGAGGGCCAGTCAAGTTCTTCAACACCAAACTCACCCAGCCATGCCTTTATGGACCTTGTTTTGTGCGCTGGGGATCAGTCATGCTGGAACAGAAAAGGACCTTCCCCAAACTGTTCACACAAAGTTAGAAGCATACAGTTGTCCAAAATGTCTTGGTCTGCTGAAGCATTAAGATTTCCCTTCACAGGAACTAAGAGGCCTAGGCCAACCCCTGAAAAGCAACCCCATATCATTATCCCTCCTCCACCAAACTTGGCACAATGCAGTCAGGCAGGTAATGTTCTCCTGGCATTCACCAAACCCAGACTCATCCATCAGGCTGCCAGATAGAGAACCGTGATTCGTCACTCCACAGGATACGTTTCCGCTGCTCCAGAGTCCAGTGGCGGCATGCCTTGTTTAGCATTGTGCGTTTTGATCTTAGGCTTGTGTGTAGCTGCTCAGCCATGGAAACCCATTTCACGAAGCTCCTAATGTGCAGTTCTTTTGCTGATGTTGCTTCCAGAGGCAATTTGGAACTTGTTAGTGAGTGATTCAACAGAGGATAGGCACTGTGAGTTTGCGTGGTCTATGGCTTTGTAGCTAAGCTGTTGTTGCTCTGAGGTGCTTTCATTTCACAATAACAGCACTTGCAGTTGACAGAGTCAGATCTAGCAGGGCAGAAATTTCACAAACTCACTTATGGCAGAGGTGGCATCCTATGACGGTGCCACGTTTGAAGCCACTGAGCACATAAGTATGACTTACTCTACTGCCAGTGTTTGTCTATCAAGACTGCAAGGCTATGTGCTTAATTTTAACCAACTGTTAGCAATGGGTGTGGCTGAAACACCTGAACTCAATCATTAGGAGGGGTGTCCCAGTATTTTTCTGTCTATATAGTGCTATAGTGTAGCCGCATAAGATAACAAAGTAACGGTCAAGCCACACCTTAGTAACCACCTAGGACATCATAGCAATAGCCCAGCAACACCTCAGCAGCCACCTGGGCTTCCATAGCAATAGCCTAGCAACATCTTAGCACCCACTTGGGATAACACAGCAACAGCTTTGACAAGCTAACTGTTTTTATTAGTTGCAGTTAAACGGTCTTGAGATCTTCCCACATCCCTGCTCCCGATAGCCCACTTTGGCAGCTTTTTTTCTCTGATGTTTCTTAGATGGATCTCTGATTACTTAAGAATTTGTTTATTTTACATGTTGCTATTTTTGCACATTTCTGGAGACTGTATGGCTGAATAGGCAGCCTACTGTATTTATCTAACTGTAACTTCTGGAAAAACAATTAAGTCTGCAAGGATGTACATTTGCTGTAAGACAGTTTTTGAGTTCACTCCTTCTCCTGGCTGTTGACTTGAAGACAGCCGCCAGTACGTGGAGGCGGAGTGTTTAGACAGAGGAAATGGATGCTGTAATGACACTGGAGGAGAAACTATCATAAGTGGGCGGTGCAGCAAAAATTTGACTTTATTAGGGTAGTGGTCACAGACCTCAGAACATCCACACTGAGGCTGTAACCATGGTGAGTTCACATGATTTCTAAGTTTAGTAGTGCTGTTTAAATGAGATTTAAATGTTCTTGATATCAATTAATCAACTTTTATTTAAAGTCAGGTGACATTGAAGATGACTCTAATTTACAATGTAGCCAGGCATAGAACTAAAAAACAAAGGACTCAACAGTAAATATAATTCAGAAATAATAAACATGTAACAAAGAAAGTGATATAAAGCATAATGTATGGTGTAGTTAAAACAATACAGAAAATTAAATATATTTTAGGCTCTTTAGAATAAAAAACTAATATCAAGATGAGCAAAATTATTGAGTAGAATAATACAAATCAAATAAAACAACAGAATAAGCTAAAAACAAATAATAAAACAAGCAATAATGATAGAGTTTTAGAAAATCCTAAAAATCAACTAAAAATTAAAACTAAAATGAACTAAAACAATTGCGAGTACAGGTGGTTAGAGATTAGAACTTAGAGGCTCATTTGATACTATAATCAAATAATAAAAAAAACTACATCAGGCTAATTTGTGGTTGTAAAGGGCAGGAAATGAGCACTACTATTTTTTTGCTGCTTGTACAGGAATCAGCAGCCCAATGTGGTGGCAGCAACACTGTTAATATATAAACTGAATAAGACTGGCCCCAGGATTTAACCTTGTGGAACACTCTTGGAAATACAACAAAACTGTTGATTTCTTTAGGATCATTTTGAGTATATGCTTTGGGAACCGCTGGTCTAAGAGGCCAGTTATTCTTATTCGGAATGACCCGTGCTGGGGTTCCTGAAAGTATTTTAGCACAAAGATGACACTTAAATGGTAGAGTGAGCATAGCACTGAACACTCTCTCTAGCAGTTAAGATAATCTTAATTCTAAGATGGGAAATCAGGCCCTGTTTCTGCAGAAATCAAACAGTAATTCAAAATCTAGTTGTGTCAGTGAAAAAATAATGTTTTCAAGTTTTAATAAAACTAGACTTCTGTCTGATTAAAAAGGAAATCTCAATCTTGCTAGTTTTATCAATAGAAAGTATAAACGATCAATAACACTGCAGTTCTCCAGACAGAGCGCGGAGGTGTTTGTTAACTCCATTTGTTTACTTGCTCTTTGTTCCAAAGTCTGTGCTGAAGAGGTCAGTGTTCGTGGGGTTGGTGCTGTTTGCTCTCATTCCTCTGAATGATGCCGCCTGCTCAATGACGATGCTGAAAAGAGGTATCCATTTGCCAAGAGTTGAGTCATGTTATGCTCATGTTGGTTTATATTGTGATGTGTTACTAACTTTTGACCTTTTATAGGTGCGACTCATTGTCAGGACATCATGGATAAGATCTGGCACCCTGTGGGATCATCCTGGACCAACAAAAAATGTGTTAAGTGTACCTGCAAGGCTGATGGAATGCGCTGCTGTGATGGGTAAATAAACAAAAGCTAGCTATGAAATAACTAAAATATTGTTGCAGTAGGAACAAAACCATTTATCCCCATTTTTGTTGTTTTTACTTTTTTTTTTTCAGCATTTACATTGTGTCAAAATTTCAGGATAAAAAAAGACCTATAGAAATGACCCAGATTGACTTAAATAAAGTCATAATGAGGTCTGGCTGAATTAACTTACATTGACTATTTTTCTTCTACTGTAAAGTTACTTTTTTGTATGCACATACAAAATACATACAAAAACTAAATACAGAATATGGTTTGAAATCTTAAAGGATCCATATCGTACATGTTTCTTGCATTTTATTTTGTAGGCCTGCGGTTCTCTTATAATGTTAGTTTTGTTTTATATACCAAAAAACATCCACCAACCTCTTTTCATCCTATACAGTTAAACAGACTGACACCCTGCCTTTAAGACTAATATGTAAATGACTTCTGTTATGATTGGTTGCCCTCTATTGTGCCTCTTTCAAAAAGCAGGCCAAACACTCACTGTGAATGGGGGTAGAAAGGCTGAATAGTTAGATATATGTAAATGTGATAGATTTTGTGTTGTCATAGAAAAAGTGGTTGTTTATGTACAGTGAGGAAAATTCACTATCCCAGGCTTATTATACTAAGGCTTATTATTCAGTAACTACAGGGACTTCAATGCAAACTGGTTGAGCTATTCCTGTAGAAGTGTGTAGAGAGTACAGAGTAGTCCCATAATCAAAGCAGCAGACAGCAGCTTTGCACTAGTGCAGTAGAGTCTGTTGGATTCATGAGGGGAGTTACTGAGAAATCAGCCAATCAAAACCTCTAAACAGTTACTATCTAAGCTATCTACTACTATCTATCTAGCTGTAACTATGCTCCAAAGTTTTCTCCATTCATTTAATTTTATTTAATTTGTAATTGGAATGAAAACATCTGCATGCTATATTAACTTATCTATATGTGTAAAAAACAAATGGTCAAAAATGGTCAGCAGGAGGCTAACGAGTCGCATCTGTAGTGAAATAACAAGTGTCGTTCAGCAGTTTTGGCTTACCACGTGCACCAATTCTGGTGTAAAATCTAATCCATAAGGGGGCCAGAGGTGGCTTGTGCAACCCTGAAATGAGGCATGGCCATGTTTCTGACCACCCCAATTACAGAAAGTGACCCATCATCAGTCAGTCATCATTAATAAAGCATTGATTATGCTTTATGGTGAAAATCAGGGCAGTCACCACTCAGTTGTGAGACTCTGATTATACGCATTTAATAATTAGCGTATCTTGCTGGGATAGGCTAATTTGTTGACCAAACAGGCATGTAATGGTAAGTAATGGCAAACAGCCACATATGGCACCTTTCGCAGGTGAGGGTTGACAGTTGAAATAAACATTGCTTGCTCACTGTGGAGAATCTATTATCCACTTATTTTGAGAATATAGAAACTGTAATGAATTTTGGACTTAAATGATTTCATAAACAGAAAAAAACTGACATGTTTATTGAGCTAAAAGTTGACTACAAACCTCTTTGAATATCTAAAATAAATAATAAAAAAGAAATAAAATAAAAGTAAATAAAAAAGTTGACAGTTTTCCAAATTAACCTAGAAGAGTATCTTTAAGTCATGGTTCATGCATAGAAAACACTGGACACAATGAAAAGAAGCAGATTAACCTCTTAAACATCCAGGGCTGACTGACAGGCCCAGAGTTTTACTACATACTTCTATAACCTAACAATAACTCACCTAGTTTGCACTGAAGTCTGTGAAATAACTGAATAATAAGCCTTAGTATGTAATAAGCCTGGGGTTTTAAGAAGTTAATAAATTCTCAGTCCCCCTTTTAGACCTTAACACTTCTGTATCTACTTGACCTTATTCTAAATATCTTCCAGAGCAGATGCTCCTGTGTAACATTTACCTGATGTTCTTTGGATGTTCTGTTCTTTGATTATTTTTTTTATTTCTTTCTTTTACAGACTTCCAAAAATTTTTAACGTTCCTGAAGATTGCACTGTGGAGTACAATTATAAGACATGCACATTTAAAGTGTCTGAAAAGAAGAACCCCTCAATTCCTTGCTCTCACAGCGCTGTTGGAAAGTGAAATGAAGTGAAAGAGAGATATAGAACAGAAGATAAGGGCAGAAGTCAGTAATTCTGTACTTAAGTGCATGTTAATTAAATCAAAGCGACTTTATTAAAGGTTGATAGAAACTAAACTGCTTTGACTTTTTTCCAAGTATACACCCTACATCAGGGGTGCACAACTCTGGACGGCCGGTGTCCAGCACAGTTCCCTAGATATTTTGTTGCTCACCTAGCAAATATCTTGTTCTCCCAAGCTGTCTTCACTACCTTTACATTCCACAAGTCCTTACAATCAGCCGTTGCTCATTTATCCTTCGTTTCATCTGTTTGACATCTAACAGTGTTGTCATGAAGCTTATCCTAGTAAAAATACATTTTCAGGTATCATTTATGGGATGATGAGAATCATGGTTCCATGTTTGGGGTGCCATTTATGTCCCACTGATGTTACATTCACACATATACACACCGATCAGGCATAACATTATGACCACCTCCTTGTTTCTTCGCTCATTGTCCATTTTATCAGCTCCACTTACTATATAGGTGCACTTTGTAGTTCTACAGTTACAGACTGTAGTCCATCTGTTTCTCTGCATACTTTGTTAGCCCCCTTTTACCCTTTTCTTCAGTGGTCAGGACCCCCATGGACCCTCACAGAGCAGGTACTATTTGGGTGGTGGATCATTCTCAGCACTGCAGTAACACTGATGTGGTGGTGGTGTGTTAGTGTGTGTTGCGCTGGTCTGAGTGGCTGCTGGAGTTTTTAAACACCTCAGTGTCACTGCTGGACTGAGAATAGTCCACCAACCAAAAATATCCAGCCAACAGTGTCCTGTGGGCAGCGTCCTGTGACCACTGATGAAGGACTAGAGGATGACCAACACAAACTGTGCAGCAGCAGATGAGCTATCATCTCTGACTTTACATCTACAAGGTGGACTGACAAGGTAGGACTGTCTAATAGAGTGGACAGTGAGTGGACACAGTGTTTAAAAACTCCAGCAGCACTGCTGTGTCTGATCCACTCAGACCAGCACAACATACACTAACACAACACCACCACGTCAGTGTTACTGCAGTGCTGAGAATGATCCACCACCCAAATAGTACCTGCTCTGTGAGGGTCCATGGGGGCTCTGACCACTGAAGGAAGTGGAGCTGATAAAATGGACAATGAGCGTAGAAACAAGGAGGTGGTCATAATATTATGCCTGATTGGTGTATGTAAAGCAGAGGGGTCCAATCTTATCCACAATGGGCCTGTATGGATGCAGGTACAAGCAGGAGTTCACATGATTCCACTTGTTTAATCAGCTGCTCTCAGTCTTCCAACAGTTGATCATGTGAGCTCCTGCTGTGCTGGAATGAAATCCAGCAGCCACACTGGCCCTTCGTGGACACACAGCTTTAAAACTAAAACGTCACACGTGTTTGCTCATATAAATAGGATAGATTGCAAAGTCTATCTGAGCTTATCCTAACCTTTAACCTGGCAGCTGCTGTGTGGCTGCAGGACTTCCCCAACTCTGCAATGCACGAGCAGCCCACAGTCTCGACCACTCCACTTTCCCTCAGCATTACCCACACCTGATGTTTACCCTGGCTGTTGCTCTGACCTCAGCTTTCAGAAAACTGAAGTCACTATGTTTGCTATACAGAACCTTTCCTTTTTTGTTGATATAAAGCTAATTGTACGCTTCTGTGCTTTTACAGTTCTGTAGCTCTTTACAATCAACACCTTCAGAAAGGTTGAAATAGTTATCTCAATGTCAATATGGCTAACCTCAGGTCACCATTACGTGTTATCTGCACACTCTGTAAGCATTAAGAGATGGGGCACTGTCAAAAAGCAGTCACCACAGCTTTTATGTAATTTCTAAGCAGCCACCTAGTATTTTTTGGCCATTTTTGTAAAAAAAAACAAAAAAAAACAATGCACATATACTGCTTCACCAGACACCGGCTTTAGCTACAAATCATGGGAAACCTTAAAGTTCAGGAAAATCCCGGTTAGTCGTCATTCTGTGGCCGGCGTCATGCCCACATCAGCAGGTTTCTCGATTAGAAAAATGAATGCCATTTTCAATTATTCCTTCCTTGCCACAAATAAACATGTTCCACAGCTGCCCTTCAAAGCGTTGCCAGACCCTCTGAATAATTCATATTTTGACTAATAAAATCAGGGGATCCATATGGGGGGATGGGGTGTTCACAGGACTTTGGAGCATTTTTGTTTACAGCAAGGCATGATAAAAGCAATTTTTGAAAATGCCGTTGACTGCTTAGTCCCAGAGTTAAGGGCAAGACACTGACTATAGAATGACCACACGACTTCAGAAATCTACTTAGAATATACCACAAGTCACATGTTCAACACAAAATTGCTCCATCCAAATTGCCTGAAGACCACAGGAAGAAGAAAAGTCATTCTTTATTACTTTGTTTTCATTAATAATGTAATAATGACTGAAGAGGTCACTTTAAAAGGGAAAGTAAATTACTCATTAAAAAAATGTGCATTTATGGAGCCCTAAGGTGACGTGGTTTTAATATGGCCACAAATGAATATATTGAGGCCACGAATTTATATATCGAGGATATAAACTAATTTATAGTAAAAACCAGCTACTGGCTGTGGATGCGCGGGTAGGCGAGGCCACGTATGGAGATCCTCGGTAAGCACCAGACCCAGATTAAGAGACACTTCAATTTGTAAACAGTTATTGCTGGTAGTGTAAAGCTGTATACACTCCTGATCAAAATCTTAAGACCAGTTAAAAAATTGCAAGAATTTTCACTTTGCACTATTGGATCTTAAGAAGGTTCTAAGTAGAGCTTCACAATGCTAAAAGAAGAAATAGGAGCAAGAGACAAAAGATTTTCAGCAGCCAATTTATTAAAAACAACAAGTTAACTGAAATAGGCTGTTCATCAGCTAATCAAAAGTTTAAGACCATGTCTCAAAAAAACCCGAAAACAAAAATTGAAATGTCAAAAAAAGGACTCAGTAGTGAGTTGGTCCACCATTGTGGTTGATCACTTCAAACAATCGTTTAGGCATGCTTGATGCAAGTGTTTCCAGGAGGCTAGTGGGAATGTTGCTCCAGGTGTTGAAGATGGCTTCACGAAGGGCATCCACTGTCTGGAACTGATGTTCATTTTTGTAAACTTCCCTTGCCATCCATCCCCAAATGTTCTCAATCGGATTTAGATCTGGGGAACACGCAGGATGGTCCAAAAGAGTGACGTTATTCTCCTGGAAGAAGTCCTTTGTCAGTCGGGCATTGTGAACTGCAGCATTGTCCTGTTGAAAAACCCAGTCATTACCACACAGACGAGGGCCCTGCATCATCAGGGATGCCCGCTGCAACATCTCCACATAGCCAGCTGCTGTTTGACGCCCCTGTACAACTTGAAGCTCCATTGTTCCATTGAAGGAAAAAGCACCCCAAATCATGATGGTGCCCCCCCACCACTGTGCCATGTAGAAAACATCTCAGGTGGGATTTCCTTGTCATGCCAGTAACATTGGAAGCCATCAGGACCATCAAGGTTAAATTTTTTCTCATCAGAGAATAAAACTTTCTTCCACCTTTCAGTGTCCCATGTTTGGTGCTCCCTTGCAAAGTCCAAATGGGCAATTTCGTGGCGTTGAAGGAGACGTGGCCTTTGAAGACGTTTTTTTGTTTCTGAAGCCCTTCCCTCGCAGATGCCGTCTGATGGTTATTGAGCTGCAGTCAGCACCAGTAATGGCCTTAATTTGGGTCGAGGATCGGCCCACTATGTGGAGGCTGTACTTTAGCCTGGCTAGCTAACAGAGGTGAGTTATTTACATGCTATAAAATGATGATATATAACAGCCACCAAAAGAGAGATTAAAATAATATAGAATGAATTCTGTAACTTACATCCACAGTTCTGTAATTGAAATAAAAAAAAAGTTATACATGTCTCTCCACGAGCCACACATGTTTTTATATGCAATGCTGGTGATAATACAGTAGCGCTAAATCTGAAAAAAGTTTTCTTTGGGGACTATTTTGCCTCATAACCCCCTGCATGTGCCTCTCCACCATGAATGAACATTAAAAAATATGGTTTAGGTCAAAAGCTTATCTTAAAACTATCGTCAAAGAATGTTTTAGGCATCACGCAGCATTATTTGTAACAATTGCAAGTAATAACTTTCTATTAGAGGCAGTAAGACTTAGACTCTTCAGATGTCTGGTTCCTATCACCACCACTGTGAAAAATTCTCGGTAAGTTTCTTCAGAACGGAGCATTTCAAGTCACGCCAAACCACTCTGAATTATTTATTAATTATTTAATCATGACGAAATGTAGAAGAATCAGTGGAATTCCAAATTCCCATTTAAAACATATTTGGGATGACAATGATATCTTGGCAAGCTCCTCCTCTATAGCTGACCATGAAGTAAATGTTTTTTCCAAAAAAAAAGAAAACAACTTTCCTGACTTCATTAAGGCAGTTCTACACTGGAGAGGAGAGAACCTCGTCCACTAATCATTCTAACAGAATGTGCTTAACTGCTTCAGTCTCTGCCATCAAACCTCTTTGTTTTTCTTGATATTTCTTTTGCATTAGTTAGCTTTAAGCTAAAGCTGAGACTGAGCATTCTGATGCTCCTTTAATAAGGTATCAGCATTGTGTGATATAAATGTTTAAGACGTTTTTGCGGAAGTTGCAGTCAGATACATGCACCCAGTGTTCCACAAAGGATTGGCTTGTTATAAGAACGACTACAGAACAGAAAAGGATTCTTGCTTTAATGTGCCATAAATCTGCAAACATTGTAACTGATAAAATCTTCCAGGTTGTATATTATTTGTACTTAGTAAGTTTAGATGTACAACAATTTAAACTTGTAACTAAAAGCTGTGAATGTTTTATTAGACTGTACTTCACATATCCATGTTCAGTATAGCCTTGTTATAGATATATGTTGCAGCAGAACTAAAATATTTGTGCTTTTAAATGTAATTAAATGTGCAGTTTACTATTGCTGTGTGCTGCAGGTCTAAATGCTGGTTCGATTATTTTCTGTCTTTAATGATCACTTTCTGATGGCACTGTAAGGGCATGGAATAGTCCTGTTTCTCTTTTTAA